TTTTGTAATTGGAGTATTTAAGTAACTCGCATCTCTCTCCTCATCAAGATTATTGATTGGTGGTGGGCTTGAAGTCCTTAATATATCAGCGCTATCTTGTGTTGTGAATAAATTGCGAAAATAAGTAAACCATTCGTCCCCGTTTATATAATTCGTAACACTCTTTATTATCGGTTTTGCCCTTTTCAGTGTTTCCCAGAATTGTTTTGGATCGTTACTACTCGCAATAAGGTTTTCGCGTCTTTCCTTTTCGCATTGTTTTCGTTTCATTTTGCAGGTATTTTTAAATTCATTTCGTTTCGCAACATAATGTTCGAAGTCGACTGATGCGCTAGTGTACCGAAATGTTCGTAAGCATTTATACTTTTCGCTTTTTAACTTGTTGCAGGTACTATCCCACCATTCAGGCTGAATATCACTATTGCGCGGTGCCCGGCATCTTAAACTTTTCATGCACGCACCTGCGCTTTTATACAATGCCATAAAATCCGATAACTTACTTAATATGTTTTCTCTAGTGCACGTTCCAATAAAATCTGAATATAATCTAGTAAATGTTTGTAGAAAGGCTTCTCGCAGATCATTCTTCCATTTATACTGGTAAACTGTTTTCAATTTATTATCACAACTGCGGCTCTTCTCAAGAGCAAGGCTAAGTGTACAATATAGTGGGAAGTGATCTGAAAAGTCATCAGTTCCGACGCCGAAATCCGTTACAAAATCGAATATAGCCGTTGACGCTATGAAATAATCCACCGTACTTAGTCCGTTATTTGCCGTGCACGTGATTTCACCTTTAGTATCTTGAAATAATCGGCCATTTAGAATATGCATATCTAAGGTGCAACACATTTCTATTAATGACTTACCAAACTTATTTATAGTACTGTCTTTATTGTTTTTATGCATTTCAAACGTATCTGCAGGGTAATCAGTTTCTCCGAATATGAAGTCTACTTCGTCATGAGGTATATAGTCTTTCAAATCACCAATTCGGGCATTAAGATCGCCCGCGACCATATAGTTAGCAGCGGGGTGATCCGTCATGATATTTCCTATATTGTTACTTAGAAGTTCAATGCCATCTGTGTCGATTGATTCGTAAATAGGAGATCTCTCCGGTGAAACATAAGCGAATATGATGATTAGATCTTTATCCATATGCCCAAGCGATCTCAAACGAAGAACAACACAGTTTTCGAAATGACTGTATAATCTCTCCACATAATTACTCAACCATTCTTTTATATAAACAGTAACCCCTCCAGACCCTCTTTTATTTTTACTTTTTCTAATATTGATATGTGCCATATAACCTGGAATCATAAAATGTTCGTCTGCACGAGTCCATGTTTCGCATAATGCCAAGATATCGTATTTTGAGCAAAAATTATAAAAAGTCACGTCTCCATCATATTTATTTAATCCTTGTATATTAAGAGAACATAATTTCACATTTAAAACTTCGCTATTTACAGTTGTATATCGTGGGTCTTGGCCACCCTGCTATTTTCTAGCCTGCACGGGTTTCTTTTCAATTGGGTCAAATACGTACGACTCTCCATCAACTATGAGTTTATCATATTTGAAAAAGGCGCTCTTTCCATCTTCATAACATTGCTTTAGAAAAGGATATAGACCTGTGCGGGCCTTTGCCACCCTTTCAGGCAGGTCTTCAACGATTCTTCCTCGCACAATTTCATGTTTACGTTTTTCCTTGTAAGCATTTAGAACTTTATCACGATCCGATTGTCGCGTGAACTTAACTAGCACGGCTCTCTCAGCTCGTCCCGGAAGTTTAAAGGCAGCATTTATATCTAATGAGTCTCCGTCTAAACTAAAATTATTTGTTAAATGTTGACGAACGCTTAATTCTACTTGATCCGGTTGAATATTGTCAATATTTTCGATTCCGTGGATTTTCAAATTGTTTTTTCGGATATACATTTCCAATTTTTCGTGTTTAAGTTCGAGTTTCGAGTTTTGATCTTTGACAGCTTTTAAGTCATTGGACAAAGACTCAACTTTACTTGAAAGAATGACATTTTCCGCTTTTATTTGACTATTCTCGAGTTTTATTTCTTCGACCGATTTTTCTAACGTATCAAATCTACTGTTGATTTGTCTTAATTCTGATCTGATATCTAGTAAAATAGACGTCATGTTCAAGTTTTCATCATTTTTTGATTGGGATGACTGTGAAGATACCGATGTTCCATCTGCAGTAGATGTTTTCTGTTGCGTAGCGTCTGGTTGTAGCCAAGGTACGAGAGACGCTTGACCAGAACTACGCGTAGAATACGTATGCCCGGCATCATCTGTTACGCTACTCTGCGATAGGTCGAACTCGTTTGTCGGTGTCGGTGGATGGGAAGAAGCAATGGATGATCGCCCACCACGACCGCCCCCGCGTGGTCTACCGCTTGTCGGTCCTGGATTTCGCTCAACGCATTGTGCCGTTAGAAGAAGAAAAAGCAGAATTCGTATGCATAATGATAAATAATGACTGGAGGCGGTAGTCGTTTGACAATTTTTTTTTGTGACTGGACGGATTAATAAATGTCCCGATTCTTGCTCGCCATAGTCCGATCGTAATCCCCATTATCTCCTTAACACAGTATCAATAAGTATAGATCTGTTTTGCTGATTACAATTAAGTCAAGCGTGACGATCAGGCGGTCAATATAGGTATGTAGTTATTAAATCTAAGTGATGTCCTAGCTAATGACCAACTATAACCGCCAACTATCTAACAAAGGCCATCAATGGCAATTCAAATATCACAAAATGTATCAAATTCACAGTTCCGAGTTTTTTTGCATTCAATAACATAGATACATTCTCACCACTCATCTATAAGTTAATCCATTTAAGGCACAAATAATCCAGAAAATTTCATTTTATTTCGCCTGCAAATTCAACAACGACTATTTACACCGGAACCGGAAATCTCTCTCATATATAATGAACGGAAACTTAAAATTTCTGATTTTTTTTTCAAAGTTCAAGAGGGATAACTCTGTCAGCTATCATCAAACCATGACCAAATTCGAAATTGACCAATGCATTCTTATGACATATCCATATCTTTGAGTTGAATATGTACAACTGTTAGGGAGATAATGAATGGGAACTGAAAATTTCCTTTTTTTTTAAAGTTGAAGGGGCATAACTGTGCCAAAAATCATCAAACCATGACAAAATTCAAATTTGACCTGTGCATTTCTTTGATGTATCCATATGTCAAATTTGAGTTGAATGTGTAATACCCTAGAGGAGATAATGAATGGAAACTGAAAATTTCATATTATTTTCAAAGTGAAAGGGACATAACTCTTGCCAAAAACTCATCGAACCATGACCAAATTCCAACTTGACCTGCCCATTCCTTTGACATATCCATTTGTCAAATTTGAGATGAATATGTAACACTGTTGGGAAGATAATGAACAGAAACTGTAAATTTCATATTATTATCAAAGAGAAAGGGGCATTACTCTGCCAAACATCATTGAACCATGACCAAAATCAAACTTGGCCTGCACATTCCATTGATATATCCATTTGTCAAATTTGAGTTGAATGTGTAATACTGTTGGGGAGATAATAAACGGAAACTGAAAATTTCATATTATTTTCAAAGTGAAAGGGCATAACTCTGCCAAAAACATTTAACCATGACCAAATTCAAACTTGACCTGCGCATTCCTTTGACGTATCCATATGTCAAGTTTGAGTTGAATGTGTTGTACCATTGGGGAGATACATGTAATGAACGGAAACTGAAAATTTCATATTATTTTCAAAGTAAAAGGGGCATAACTCTGCCAAAAATCATCAAACCATGACCAAATTCGAACTTGACCTGTATTTTCTCATGACATATCCATATGTCAAGTTTGAGTTGAATCCGTTGTACCGTTGGGGAGATAATGAACGGAAACTGAAAATTTCATATTATTTTCAAAGTAAAAAGGGCATAACTCTGCCAAAAATCATTGAACCATGACCAAATTCGAACTTGACCTGTATTTTCTCATGACATATCCATATGTCAAGTTTGAGTTGAATCCGTTGTACCGTTGGGGAGATAATGAACGGAAACTGAAAATTTCATATTATTTTCAAAGTAAAAAATGCATAACTCTGCCAAAAATCATTGAACCATGACCAAATTCGAACTTGACCTGTATTTTCTCATGCATATCCATATGTCAAGGTTAAGTTGAATCGGTTGTACCGTTGGGGAGATAATGAATGGAAACTGAAAATTTCATATTATTTTCAAAGTAAAAGGGGCATAACTCCGCCAAAAATCATCGAACCATGACCAAATTCGAACTTGACCTGTATTTTCTCATGACATATCTATATGTTAAATCTGAGTTGAATGTGTGCAACCATTACTAAGATAATGAACGGAAACTGATGATGAGTTTGACGGAATGACAGAATGACGGAATGACGGAACAGGGTAACACTTTTGCTCCGGCTATTATATGGCAGGGGCATAAAAAGGTCAGAAATTGCAAAATTAGCCCTTTAACTGCTTAAGTCACGCAGTAAAAATGCGGTGATAAAAGTGTGTAATCATTCATAAATTGCTTAAATTGCATATAACATGCAAATTATTTCTTAATATTTTCCTTTCCTTAGAATTTTTTCTCACTGTTTAATTTCTTGAATTATTTTTTAATAAGCTAATCTAACTGCTAGAACTGTTTAAAGCAAACATAAAACATATACATGTACAAGTACACCACTTACACGGACAGATAAACAAACACAACTTTAGCCCGCTCCACACTATAAAGTCACAAACTGGGAGTTACATTATTCATGTACATACATCTAATCTGGGACTAATAATGTAACTATCTCTTTTGTGACAATAAACGGGATTAGTGGGTTGTCATGGCCTGTGTTGCACATTACTTAAGGTCTTTTTTCTACCATTTAATGAAATATTTAAAAAGGCACAAGAAATTTAATTACTTTACCTGTTATCATCCAGTGTGTCAATTCTATCTGCCATTTTGATATGTTTTCCCTATCTGTTTTTTATACTGCTATAACTGAAATAATAAGATATCACATTATTTTATAAATGTCACAAATAGTAAATGTTCCTGTGCACAATAACAGAGTTTTTGTAAGGGATCAAGGAAATAAAATAAAAAGCTATTTTGAGAACAACATGTGACCAGGAAACAAAGAAAACAGTGAACTTGAATTATAAACTTATCCCAGAAAAAATAAACCTTCCTCTTTCTCTTAAGTTTTAATTGACCTAGACATAAAGATAAGTTTATCTCTGTTATCAAACATAGCTATTTTAAACCTCAAAAAAAACAAAAAAAAACAAAAAACAAAAAAAAAAACAAGAATGCATTTGTAAAAAAAATACTATGCCATCGCATTAATATAACAGAAGCAGATTTTTTTACTATACAATTGAACTGTGGCATAATGCAGTAGTGTCTAGTGAAACTAGGGGTCAAGGTCATATTTCAGCATGTCAGATCATTAGACACACATGCAGATGTGTCTTATGTTCAGATACAAAGGTCATAGTTCAATAATTGATTCAACTATAAAAGAATCTTTAATTGACAAAAAATATGTATTTAACCTGTATAACATACTGATAGCAGTGTATGCAAGTCCCTCACTAAAATACCATTTTTTGCAATTACGGATTACTAATTTCTAAAAAAACATAATCATGTCCTTAAAATATACTCAAATTGTTTCATTTAATATCTCTACGAAGCTCACAACTATCTTGCTAGAGTTCATGACCTGAATAATTTCATAAATATCTCTGAAAATTATGACCTTAAGACTTACATATGTCAGGAGAATGACTGCCTTGATGTTATTAAATCTAAGGAAAGATTTAGTAATAAATAATAGAGCCACTTTCCATGATATGGGGGCTGGGCAGCACTGCCTGACTTAAGATTGAAATATTCTCAGTTGGAGAACTAGCATGTAATTGTTTAGTTAAAACTATTTTTTCATTTCACACAAAAAGATTTTTTTTACCATATGTATATAATGAAAATCAATGACCCCCAGGGCAGGGTCAATTTTGACCCAAGGGCTATAATTTGAACGATCTTGGTAGAGGACCACTACACTATGTTTCATGCCAAATATCTAACCTCTAGCCTTTGTTAATTCAGAGAAGAAGATTTTTAAGATTTTACTTAATACATATATGGAAAATCCCCCCCCCCCCCCAGGTTGGGGCCAATTTTGACAGTAGAGGCAAAATTTTAACAACCTTGGTAGAGAACCAACCTATTAATGATATCATATTATCAAAGCTCTAAGCCTTGTAACTTCACACAAGAAGATTTTTTAAGTGTTTACTATATGTGCATAGTGAAAATCAATGACTCCCTAGGGTGGGGGCCAATCTTGACCCAAGGGCTATAATTTCAACAATCTTGGAAGAGGTCTTCTTCACAATGTTTCAAGCCAAATATCTAACCTCTAGCCTTTGTCAATTCAGAGAAGAAGATTTTCAAGATTTTACTATATACACATATGGAAAATCTGACCCCAAGGGCAGGGCTTATTTTGACACTAGAGGCAAAATTTGAACAAATTTGGTAGAGAACCTATAGATGATATCATATACCAAATATCAAAGCTCTTAAATCCTTGTACCTTCAGATAAGAAGATTTATAAGTTTTTACTATTAAATTATGTATATAATTATGGAAAATCAATGACCCCCGAGGTGGGGCCAACTTTGATCCCAGGGCTATAATTTAAACAATCTTGGTAAAAGTCTACCAGGACAGTGCCTCATGCAAAATATCTGAGCTCTAGGCCATGTGGGTCTTTACACACACACACACAGAACTGAATTCCTATATGCCATTGCAGATACTGCTGTGGCATAAAAAAGTTTGGCAATTACATGTAGCAAAATTCCAAAATACATGTAGTTAAGTATATTGTGTATGATATTGAACAAATTCTAAATCATTTATGCTGAAAAGAAAACAATATTTAAAACATACTATGATGAAATTTAAAATTCTTATAACGAGATACATGTACATAGATTAACTAAAAGCTTAGTTTTTTTCCATAACCAGCTAAGATTTTTTTATCATAATAATTAAATGACTAAAAGATAATAGGTAAGTTCAGTCATGGTGACGTCAGAGCTCTTATGTACAGTGTACGTGTTTACAGTTTTACATGATATCAGTTTACACTTTTTTACGTACATGTAAATAAATACAATATTTATAATGACAGAATAGGAAGTATTAATCAGTATTTATCAGATCAATTTACATGTACAACTGATATTTTGTTGTATTTTTTTATTGTTTTATGTATATGTATTTATTTGTTCTGTTTGTATGTTGTTGTTTTAAAATACTTCTCAAAAATCATTTTATTTTAGTTTGTGCTTTTTAATATCTACATCAAATATCAATGGACCCAATTTATGTCTCTTTTTTAAAGTTGTGTTTTATGTCATTGTGACCAACACAGTATAGGTCATATATGGCAACTTTCCAGCTTTACTAGTTGGGAAGACCTCAGGTGCCTTTCCCTTCTTTATTTCATGCACAAGTAGGCATCTGTGTAGAATCATCAATGTTTCATAAGCTAGCTGGATAAATTCCTTACATGAAAGAACTCCATGTCTCTGTCAGAATTCAAACCCACAGCGGTGAGTAGCATGTGGCTTGAGGTCAACAGTCTTAACCACTTGGCTACAGAGGCCCCATGATCTTATTCAGAAATCTTATTTATGGAATCATATATTATGATATTTTATGCTAAAAGAAGCTTTTAGATTATGCACCTACAAAAAATAAGAACTTTGTCATAACTTTGTGATACAGCTGAACTGATATCTATATGAGAAAAGTATAGGTTTGAAGACACAACAGCTGGCATAATAATGGAGCAAGTATTGCCATTCTAAAAACAGATTTTAACAACACACATTCATCAGTGTGTCACAGAGTGAGAAAAACAAGTCTGACAAGGACTCGAACCCGCGGCTCTACCGACTGAGCTTTTCGGCCACTTACACATCTTCTCCCCTTCATAGTGAACAGTTCTAAACCATGACAATTATTACTTCCCTGCTATATTGAAATTCCTCCTCGAATTTCATAGACTTACAGAGCAATGCGAATTGAACTCTGAGCTATATTCACAGTCACGGCCCCACATTAGGTGCCAAATGTCACAGGGTGAGAAAAATGTGCAGCCTGATTGGGACTCGAACCTGGGAACCCTCAGAATACTGTTCTACAGCCTGAGCTATCCGGCTGCTAACACATCTTCCCCCTGTCACAAAGATATTTTATCAAACAAAGAGATTATCTATTTTACTAATCTGTCCAGTAATCATGTTAGTGTACCTGTTGTTACAGAAAAACTTTTATCAATAGTTTTCAACATATTATTTTGTATTTGTAGTTTTATGGACTAATAAATCTTAATTCTCTATAAGACAGTAATTTTACATTTATAATTCTATTTATCACCATGTCTTCATTTCTGTTTGTTGTTAAGGTGAAATGCTTGACTACAAATTCATATAAAAGGCTTGTGTGTTGTTACATAGTACCATTCTGTTGACAACATTAAATACTGGAAATTTATATTACTTTTCTTCTTCATTTTTCAAGAAAACTTTGCTGAAAACTGGTGGAGAACCCGAAGTAAACAACAACACTGGTACAAACTCCTGTGATAACTTGAAGACTTTAAACTACATTCAGACGGTCCAGTTTCGAGTACAGAAGAAAAACCAACTAGCATGGAATCCGAAACCTCGACAGTGCAGATAAAAGGTAGGCCAAATGTTGATTTAGTGGGAAAATTTGACCAGTTTAAACATAAACCTCATTTATGGTTAGGTAGATATATCGTTTATGGTCATGTAGTGAAATTCAAAGAATCTGATTTAGGTAACATGATTACATTACAAGTTCAGCATTAATTTTTGTTGCTTTTTTTCATTAATTTTTTTTTAAGATGAGGTCAAAAATGATATTAAAACATTAATAAGAACATTTTTTCTTTCAATTTATTAAAATCAATCTTAAGTGAGAAAATGTAGTCTTTCTTTGTGGCAAAATACAAATACATAACATTAGCAAGTTCTCTGAAGACTTTTACATTTTCACAAGACATTAAATTATAAAACATTAGTACATTAATTTTGTAGTCTGATAATTTACAATATGTACAATATATGTACTTAATCCTTAAGACATAGTTACAAGGACACACTCAATACAAAATGGTACAAATTTTCAAACAAAACACTCACAAAAAGGGCTATTCCTATATTCTACAGTGATGTCATAATATCTACATTTTTTTCACCATTAGACTATGTGCTGAACTATGGTGCCTTGCCATACAGGTTCTAAATTTTTCAGTATCCATGTCATTCATGTATTTTTCAATTACATATTTTGTTTATTTAGTACTTTACACTTTATTCCATATAATCACCTTTTCTCAATCTTAATTACAATTCCATTCAACAAAATTCTGGCTGGTCCTTTCTAATGTTCCACCCCAAAATTTTGACATAAAATGGTTGAATTACTGTAGAAATGTTACTAAGCTTTTCTTGAATAAGCAGGTTACGTTTAGAATTGTAAAATATTATAAGTAATGGGCAGGTCTCATGAAATAAGTGCTGGATCCAACTTTACAATTCCTGTAACTCTACCCTTCTTATTCACAGAACCCTTCTTTTTCTACATCCATGAGTTTCTACTCATGGCAGTAGTTATACCTGAGACATTTGTCTGGGGAATGATTGGAACGAAGACATAATTACAAAACATAATCACACATGTATGTCAATACATTCTACATGCAGAAAATTACAAACAACACAATTCAAACATTAGTCCTTGTTTGGATCCTTTAAAAAACTTCTATAGAAATTCTTAACATATATACATGTATTATATTTAAAACAAACAAAAAAGAAACTCGATAAAGCAATTTACTTCTTACAATCTTTAAGCCTATCAAATGATTAAATAGATCAATATTTTGTTT